TAGCGCTTGTTAAAACAGAACACTACTGCTAGACAGCAGTAGCGCATGCAAAATAAGCCCGCTGCAGATGCATATATATCAGTAGCGTTTCTCACCGAAAACTCGCTACTACTAAAATTCTAACCACTTAGCCGATGGGCTACACATAGTAGTAGCGATCTTACAAAAACCGCGCTACCGCTAATATACTTATAGCAGCGCGTTTATGCATAAAGCGCTACTGCTAACGAAAATAAAATAAAATGAAGAACGAATAGAAAAGTAAATGAAAATGAAAGAAATAGAAAAAGAAGAAAGAAAAAATATAAAATGTAAGAAAAATAAATGAAAAAGGGAAAAAGGATGAAGACTTAGCAGTAGCGCGTTCTCTGGAACGCGCTATAGCTAACTTAGCTATAACGCGTTTTCTGTAACGCGCTACCGTTATTTTTGACTTAACCCAAAAACAGTTTCCCACCGGCCACCACTTCTCCCCCAAATCCCCTCGCCCCACTTCGCCGCCGTCTCCCCCACTTCGCCGTCGCCCTCACTTCGCCGCCGTCTCCTGCCGGCGTCGACGCCGTGCTCATCCTCACCGCCGCCGCCCGAGGCCGCCCAGCCTCACCGCCACCGCCTCTCGAGCCGTCCTCAATCTCACCGTCGCCTCCCTCGACCTCACCGCCGCCGCCCTCGACCTCACCGCCCCCGAGCCCGCCCAGGACCGCCGCCTCCCGATCCCAAGCCCGCCCTCGCCGCCCCTACCTCCGTCGCCGAGCACCTCCCCGCCATCGTCTCTCCCCTCTCTGTAAGCCCCCCACCCATCCTTTTTAGTTAATAGATGTTAATGTTAAGTAGTAGATAATGTTGATGTTTTTTAGTTAGGGTAATAATAGATGTTAAGTAGTAGATAATGTTGATGTTAATTAGTTCAGTAGGGTTTAGTTTTTGAATTGAGTTTCTTTAACTAGATGTTAATTAGGGCAGTAGGGTTTAGTTTTTGAATTGAGTTTGTTTAACTAGATGTTAATTAGAGCAGTAGGGTTTAGTTTAGAGTAAAGTTTAGTTCAGTAGTTAACTAAATATAATTTATATTTGGTTTTTGAATTGAGTTTGAGAAAGCATGAGGTTTGTGTAGATTTTCTTGTAGTGTCAAACGCTAAGACATGCAAATTTGAAGTGGTCAGGATATATGCAAATTCCTCAATTGTGTTTGCACATGTTTCAATTGTGCCCAAGTGGCCTTTTGTTGTTTCCAGGGAATGAAGCCGAGTGGCCTATGTTTTGCCGGAATGTTGATTCATTTCCGTTTTGACAAATTTCAGGTTCTCGATTTGTCCACTTTTTAGAAAGGTCATGCCAAAATTTTCCGTGAATTTCGGCATGACTTGTGCTACAAACTAGGACATATCGAGTGCCCGGAATTTGCTGCACCAGGAAGGAGTCAACGTTCCTGCAAAACAATAGGCCTTTTTTATGTCATTATTCATTTTATTAGGTCCAGAATTAATTGACTAGATTTAATCGTAGAAAACATGGCTAGCAACGATGAAGGACAGGGTTCTGGTGATTGCGACGACGTCTACCGGGCGGCAGACAATTTTTGAGCCTTACCGATGATCAACCCATGTTGTTGCTGGGCCCACTGGTGGCATCGAGGACTGAGACCGACACGCAGACCGGTGCTGAGATTGAGACCGGCGCTGAGACTCAGACCGACATCGAGATCGGCGCTGAGACTGAGACCGGCGCTGCCTCGGGGAGCGGAGCCGGTGTAGAACCGAAAGCAAAGAGGCAACAACTTCCTAACAAACTCAGGACTACTAGACTGGTGGTCACGGAGGTGGACGACGACAATTTTGAGCCAAACGTGCCCGAGGAAGCGCGCGTGCTACGACAATCAAATAGGCTGCATCGTACGAACAACCGCCACCATCAACGATGAGAAACTGCAGAAGATAGATAATATGAGGCCCTCCCTCCTAAAGAAGCTGCACCAGATATTCTTGTTCCCGGGCCGAAATGAAAAGGATTATAAAGATCCAGACAAGGATCCGGCAATGAAGAAGATAAACAAACACGCCATGAGCAAGTTTAGCGACACATTGGCCGCCTGGAAAACAAGGGTGAAAGCAAGGATCATCGACAAAAAGGAACCCTACTCCGAGATTGTAAAGGATAATCCGACAATCACGGTAGAGCATTTTGGGTACGATCAACTTTGTTATTTATGCTTATGATATGTTGCTTCTATTTTTGCCAAGTCTGTTTCTTTCTGTTGCTCAACTATATATGTTGCATATCATCGACTCATGTGACGATGCAGGTGCATAGATCATCGATGGTGAAGAAGTGCTACGTCGGGAGTATATATACAATGAGTGGCCGGAGTGTCAGGCCCAGGTGTACCGGTTTCCGGTTTCCGAGCGATAGGCAGTAGTTAGTTTAGGTTCACGCTAATGCGAGAGAGGGGTACGAACTCATGTACTGCATAGTTCCGCTCTCACTCAAAGTGATAGCTTTTCTCGCATATATCATTGTTTAGATGGATGACGATGTAGTTGCAAGTAATCGAGACTTGTATTGCTATTTTCGAGATGATGACGAGAGACCACTTTGTGTTGGATGATGATTATGATGATGGCATGATTTGATGAGACTAGCTGTATGTATATGCTATGATTACATTTGTATGTGTATGATATGCTAAAGATTATTGTATAAAGCCTATTTAAATACAAAACAAATATGCAGAAAAAACTAATAAAACCAGCAGTAGCGAGTGGAACAAAGTTAGCAGTAGCGCTGCCTTAACCGTAGCGCTTCTTCCCAAAAAGCGCTGCAGATATTAGCAGCAGCGCTCTTCACCAAAGCGCGCTGCAACTATCCATGTATAGCAGTAGCGTGGGACGACAGGCGCTACTGCTACACGTTAGCTGTAGCGCCTTATCAGTAGTGCGACGTCCCGCGCTACTGATAGGCAAAATACCCGCGTTACTGCTAGGGTTTTCCCTAGTAGTGCAAAGTTCTTGGAGTTATAAGTGGCTTCAAAATTTACACGAGTCAAATTCAACATGAGGGAACAAAGCGATTGTAAGAGCATCTCTAGCAGACCCCGTATAACGCCGACCCGCAAAAACGCGTATACAATTCACGGAAAAACGGCTTTGCGGGCCGGCGCGGGCGGCGGCAGAGTCAGACCCCGCAAAACGGACCCGTAAAAATGGATATTCGCAGAATATGCTCTTCTACGGGTCAGCTTTACGGGGTCTGCTCGGGCGCCGCCCCCGCCGGCCTGCAAATCCGAAATTTGCATTTGAATTTCACACATGAAAATACATTTCTTTACTTTTTTATTTTCTTCAACGACATTGGATACATAGTAATTCACTAAATCTTTGCTAGAATAGCAAGACCAAAAAAAACAAGAACCACAATTATGCATTTTAGAAGATATCCAACTTCCATAACTGCTCCCACTAGTTGGACCAATATCTTCTTCATGCATTCGTTGTTGATCCGTGGATTCTTGATCTTGCATTCTCCATTCTTCTTCTTTGGTTCTAAAGAAGTAGATGTTGCTTCCCCTCTACTTTCTTCTCTAATTGCACATGCAGCCGCATCATTAGCCTCAATTCTACTAAGGAGTGCACGAACATCTATTAAGTTTACTTCTATCAATAAATCAATGTATTCTCCTTCCCAAAACCAAAATAAGCATCCATCTTCCTACACACATGACGATGTTTAAAATGAGCTATCGAAATTGAATCGAAGAATACGGTGACAAAGCAGAATGGAAACAACACATACCCCGTTGTTTCCGCATTTAAAGAACAACCATCCGGGGTGCTTCAACGTGCGAGAAGTTAGTCGTAGCACTGTCCGCGTGCAGTCGTCATACTGTATGAGCGGCATCGGCGAGCCAGTGAGCCGCTGCGCGAGCGCCGAGCCCGGCGACCGGCCGGCCGAATCCTTACCGAGAAACTGATGGCGGCGGTTACAGGACGAACCCGTACCTGCATGCGGTGCTGGGGCTTTGCTGGGGCTGCGCGGGGTGCTCCCCAACCAATCTATAGCTTGGCGCAGCCACAGGTGGTCGGAAAACGCCAAATCTGGCCGCCGTGTCGAACAACCGCCGATCTGCAACTTTCTGGCCTACAGACGAAGGAGGAAGTGGTGGAGGGCAAGCTCGGGCGTGTGTCGGCCCTCTGGCGTGATCCCGCCGGCTAGTTTGGCTGGAATCATAGGCGGCGGTCCGGCGGCGGGGGGTGGGGAAAAGCACGGGGCGAGGAGGAGAGGGGCGGCGGTGGGTGGGGAAAAGCGCGGGCTGAAATGTCCCCCCCCTCCGCCCCCACCAACCGCTACTGTAGGGCGCCGACGGGCCGAGGGGGGAACCCGAGTTTTCGCGGGTTGGGACGGGAATTATGTCGCGCCCCGCAAAAAAATTTATGGGACGGACGCCTTTGCGAGGTCTGGTCGGAAAGGATTTTCCACGCGGATCCGTATTTTGGCGGTTATTTTGTGGGTCGCTGCTAGAGATGCTCTAATAATAGATGTTGGTCCATGTAGAAATCGTTGATGAACTATCAATCAGAAACATCAGCAACATGCTATTATACTTGCTGATTTTTGCAACACTGCATGATGTGTGCCTCTAATATTATCATCTCCCGGAGTTAACTAAATGCAAAATAATACATGAAGCATAATAATTAATAAAATTTTCTATTGACAAGTAACTTTTACGAAATCCGAGGTACCACAAAATAAACATCCTATGTGCAGGCTCTGAGCCCTGCTGGTAAATGTGACAATGCACATATGCGGTTCTTCCCATTCTCTCTCGCAAGATCTGGTTCAAAGTCCTCGTTTAAACCGAATCAGCTACTTGGTAACTGCAATCCAATAATATTGGGAAAGTAGTCTTATTAGCACAACATTCAATATGAACTCTTGGATAAAAGCACCATTTTTAAGTTTACAATACAACCAGTAAGATAAATAACGGACCTGGCTTCTGATCATATATCCTCGACACGGAATCCAACTCCGTATGATCTAGTGCCTTGCTGGTGATCATTTTCGACTGCAAGCAAGAAATTATAATTAATTTAGTTGTGCCACTCAGAGTGCTTAGGGTAAACATTTCTCGCTAGCCTATACCAATTCACGATGAACAAAAAGATATAATTAATGACCTATGCAGGAACACGAAAAAATAGAAGCAAAACAAGTTTGGTAGTAGCCTTTTGCCAAAAGAATAAAAAAGTTATATTCGCAAATGATTCTTTCTTAAGAAGTTGAAGGATGCGAACCTGTGGCGCTAAATGTTAAGAAGGGTTTCCACCAAGAATTGCACACCAAAGCAGCAGACGACTTGGAGGAACCCACCTTCCCCTGTTTAGAAAACAATACTGTTTTTTAGATATAAATAGACATAAATAGATATAGATAACTATATATAAAGGCCTACTCATGCAATAACACATTTTAGTGGGAACATTTTATTAGATGCCATGTCTTTCTTTGGTTTGTCATTTTATCAGAGGCTAAACTAAAACACAAATTCGAGTAGAGGGAAGTATATAAATATGCACACACACTAACTTTTTTCTTATCTATATGCACATACTAATGCAGGGATACATAACACATTCCACAATGAAGGCCTATAATTAATAAAGAGGGGTGCAACTAACCTTTACTAATAAACTTGAATTAGGCTGCCAACTGGCAGCTACCTGAAACAAGGAATCGTCCGCCTCATTTTCTGCTGGCTTGTCTTTCTCCAAGCTAAAAAATCATACAGAACTGAAGGTTGTCAGGTACTTAGGTGCATCAATGCAAAACCGAGAAATATCTCCTCATTTGAGATTTACCTTCTGTTCAACTCAAGCCCAAAATCAACGTAGCCTTTGGTTCCAAAAAAGGGAACACCTTTATTTATTTCCTACAGATAGGGACAAAAGGTATCCAATAAAATTCTGATATTTCTTTGCTACAACTAGAGGCTAAAATACTACGATTCAGACAAGGCGAATTAGCCTATGTTTAACAAATTGACATGGTATTTCAATGGAACTGAAAGACTCAACTGAACCTTCGCAAAGCAGAAGTCAAACTGAAGTATGAGGAGTGTCAGAGTTTTTTGATTTTTTAAAGTTTCACTGGGGGAAAGGCTCCCCTAGTAGCAGAGTTATAGAGTTAAGTAAGTTGGCAAACGAGAGGAAATAATCTATCGACCACGAATTGAAATATAACTACACTTACCTTTGTGTCGATAACATGGCGCCTATAGAATGATGCAACCAGCTGCACGTCAAAGAAAAGAAAATTTCGTTGTGAGTTCCAATAAAGGTGAGTTCATATTCATCAGAGTTGAAAGGAATAGCCTAATACATACTATGGTTTTGTTTTAGCAATAAATTGTTCTCTTTTTTAAAAAATAGCCTAAAACAAACAATGAGAGAATGAACCGTGCATATGCACCATATTTCACTCTGATGGATCATTTACCGAATACTCTGTTTTAGTCAAAAACCAGATATTTAACTTCTAAAAATATAACTCTTATGTGTAGAAGTGAAAGTTGATTAATCCATTGTTCAGAAACATGAGTTCATATTCACCAGAGTTGAAAGGAATAGCATTTTGCAAGTGTCCATCAGCATACTCTGTTTACAATCTTGTCAAAAGACCTTAAGTGTTGTAAGCTAACAAAAAGATGCGAGTCTCTTATCAGGTAAGAAGGAAACTACAACAAACCTGTGTACTTCGAAGAAGCTCTAGAGCAAAAATGTATGAAGGGCTGAGTAGGCTAGTTGACCCTGTGCCATAACTGATTGCACAGTTCCAGTTTTTCAAGTCATTAAAAGGTGCAGTGTTCTCGCTTTCACCTGCTGGACCTGCTGACGTATTATAGACACAAACGTAGAATTAAATTCTTGATGCCCAAACTAGAGATAAACTAGAAGATATGTATCTGACCGAGGCTTTCTTGCTTATCTTTTGCACTTGGCTTGGCTACTGATTGAGACTAGTAACATATAGGAAATATACAATGTACATTGACCTTTGTATACAAGGCAGTTTCTAACTATACATGTGAATAGCAATGAACTTTGATGATGGTCATTAATATTCATGAGGAGTAAAACATAGATCCTAATGATGATTGAAGGTTTAATAAGTAATAACACTCACCAAGTGGCTTGTAATGTACCCCTGCACTTAATCTTCCTTTCCTCGTAACCAGCCATGCACCATAGGGTACCTCACCAGATACTATGCAAAGACAAGTAATAATATCAGCATATCATGGCCTGTAATTAGAAGTGTACTATAGAACAATTGAGTTGTTTCAAAGCTAAGATGAACATCTACTTGGGCATAGATTATTTTCACTACACCACACTTCGAAGTTCCAACTAGAGATATAAATAATAGCATACCAGCAAATGGCAGGAAGGATGCTCCAACCGACAGATTCTTCGAACCATATCTTACACCCATGATACCGTAATCTTCTTTACCCTGCCCCCTGTGGGCCAGGAAAATTCGACTTGATTAGTCATTCTTACGGCGTGCAATCATATTCAGAATTAATCAACAACGAGAAAAATCTTTTAGTGAATCATGAAAATACACACTTATCATAACATGAACTAACGGAATTAAACTATACACGCAGCAACTCTAGGCATGGTGTGCAACCAAGAAACACATACAATTAGCCTACCTGTTTGCCATAAGCAAAGGGAATGTTCCGAAAGCGCCAATGCCATACTTTGGATAGTAAGCACATGATTTCACCTGCAACATACTGGATATACAAGTCATAAGAACCCCAAATTAACACAATTCACATCTCGCAACAACACTACTAGTAAATGTTGCTAGCCGTGCGCTTACGGTTTTGCGGTTGACGCGAGCAGGTCCACATATGTGTTGGGATTATCCAAATCCCTGCAAAGAAAACAGTAAATCCATTTTGTGTTTAGGGTACATGTCACAGAATATAATAGGCTTGGTGAACATATATATGAAGGTAATCAAGCACCTTTGCCACCGAAACATGGCCTCTCCACCAGCTGGAGACATCTAGTGAGTTTTAAGTTAGGGAAAGTTAAACAGCACTTCTGTGATCTTAATTTCCATATCTCCGGAACTTTATACTCGTATTAACTAAAAAGGGGCTCAAAATAGTATCAGGTTGAACAAACAAGCATAATTGTTTTCTTCTTGTGTGGTAGGATACGGCGGCGCTGAGTTGAACAGTAGGATCCTCCGGCGTCTTCAAGATGATGCCGGCGTTGACGCTGCCTGGCTGATGGAAGTAGTCGTCGAACAGGCTGCGAAGCTGGAGCTTGCCGAACATGATCTCGTACGCCGGCACCGCCATCCTGCATGCAGCAAAGATTCAAAATAAATTGCACTGCATGCATGCTGTGCATTGTGCAAGGTAGGAGTATAATGCACGACCGATTCACATGGAAGCTACGACGGAGATGCATGGAGACGTATGGCGGCCGGACCTGGTGCGGGCGGCGGTGGGGCTGGGGAACTCGGAGAGGGGCGGCACCACAGAGTCCATCTTCCTTGGCGCCATCAATCCTTGTTTGCTTCCTCCCTGCTCGATCGTCCTTCGCCTTCGTCTCACCAGTCACCAGCTAGCCGACGTGTGAGAGATGGGGTTTGTGTATGCCTTCGTCTTGGTTCGCGCCTGCTATTTATACATCTCCTTTCTTTCCTTCTTTCTTGCCGGACAAGGTATTTTTCTTTTCAGACAGCGAGAGATTGATGTGTGCAAGGCTAATATTGTACTACTAGCATTTGCTTTGGATAGTCGTATCCTTTTTAAACCAAAACAGACAAGGACACGTTCCTATATATCCTTTCCCTACAAGCATGCATATTGTCAAAAATTTAATTAAAATGAACACTCAGTAATGTGATTTATTTTTTCGGCCACGTTTTCAGAAATCCAGAAAAAGGATCAAATGTGTGTGTAGTTGATGGGAGTCAAATGTGCCGTGTACTACACGCAAATCTGAGAAGCTAGAATATACATAGGAAATGTCCTCGCCAAAAAAATTACATAGGAAATGGCAAAGTACTGGAAGTGCCAATCTGATATAAATGGAATACACCGCAAAAATAAAATAAAATCAGATGCCACATTGAGAGAGAAACAATATATCACACAAATTATCATAGAGAACCACTTAGTTTTTGCTTCAGATCCGAACGATCCGGATGCCAATCGATTTCAGATCGTGCAATCTCCCGCTAAATTACGTGCACTGCCATTTAAAACATGTTATTTTGTTTTTAAGTCAAAAAACTGTGGACATGAAATAGGAATTGAACTCTTGCCCCCACCAATCAGTCCATACAAGACTAACCAACTCAGCTAACAATTGGATGTGTATGGTTCCAACTAAATTTTTTACTTGCATGCACATAAACTAAGATTTTTGAATTGGTCCTTTTGAATTGTACAAATAAATTAAAGCCCGAACCTACATCCCTTGTTTCCATTCCTCTTAACTGATAACTTAAGTCCAACCCCGCCATAACTTCTCCGTAAACAATATGATAATTTATGCACCGCAGACCTCATAATGTACGTATAAATACCATGATAACATTTTCACCAAAGGAAAAAAAGTTGTTAAAAAAATACCCCAGTAAGTTATGTGTAGATAGTATGGTAATATATGCATCACATACATGATAAATTACATACAAACATCACGGTAACTTTGACCCCAAAAAATGTTGTTTGAAACATACTTCGATAAGAGCATCTCCAACAGCCGCGCAACGCGCGGCGCGCTAAAAAGTAGTCAATTGTTGAAATCTCTAGAAAGACAATTATTTAGAAACGGAGGGAGTACATTCACGTCTTCTTCGAAAGCCGCTGCAGGGTGGACCTCTTTAGCTACGCGTCCAATGAATCAGCTACTTTATAGCGTGGCTAAGGCGTGAGCGTACGTGCGAGAGATGGGGCGAGGCCTAAAAATATCTGCCTCCACCTCCTCTGTCTCTCTCTCATCCCGTTCCTCTGCGCCGCCTCCTCCGATTCCCCTCCTCTTCTCCGTGCGTGGCGGCCGGCGCAGCTCCTCGCACCGCTGTCTGTCCACCCTGGCTCTCTCAGATCGGGGCGGGGCGGAGCAGCTCTGCCTTCTTCCCGTACTCCATCTCCATACGTGCAGCGACGACCTAGAGGAGCTCAAGCCACAGTGATAGTCCACGGCACTGTCGCCGTCGTCCTCTGCAGGAGGAGCACGAACCGCATAGATGGCCGGCTCCGTCCTGCTCCCATGCCGCCGTTCGTCCATCCTTTCTCTCTCTCTTGTTTTCCTTCAGATCGGGGCGACTGCTAACTCTCTCTTTTTCATTCTATTTTCGTTGGTGGAGAGATGGTGATGGCCATGACCACCTCGACGGTGAGTGAGGAAGATGCCTTATTGCGGGGAGAGAAGCAGCCCCAGATTGAGGAGGACGGCACAGGTCGTGAGCATGGTCATGGCCTGCAGATTGAGGAGGACACATAGTTTTGACAAAATTGTTCTGACTGTGCATCTTGAGAGAGTCCATGCCAACACAAATCTTGTAGTTCTCTGAACTCAATCTGAAATATGCAGCAAGGTTCGGTTACAATGTGTGTCAAATGAGAATTACAATATTGCCTTTGTAGCTGCATGGGTATCAGTTTTTGTTTGTACCGATCCTTCCAAACTGAAGCTTAGAGAGATAAAAATGTTGCACCTGAAGGGCTGACTGAACTACTCAATTCAGTTCTATAACAATCATACTGAAAATCTTCTTGCATTATGAGGTATTATAGAGCTTTTACATTTGCATCAAGTAGGTAAATTGAATACTGGATACAAGCATTTTTTACCTGAGGACTATTGGCACTGGGATGATGGTCTTGAAAGCAAATGATTTTTTTACTCAGGTTGGACAGTGGCAACCCTTATGCCGATTAGTGTTATAGCAGGCTTATACTAATTTCACATGGTTTTAACTTTTAGATCCCATGATTATGGGAGTGAAGAAATTATCCCTTTCTAGATTTCAGTGAATTTTCTTGTTAGTTTGACAAGGAATATGCCTGTGGTATCATACATGATTATAGAAAAGACGGAAAACAAATGGAAGTCTTCCTCCCTCAGTTTTTACTCCTCGATTCTTCTGGTCTTGATAGTCTTATTTTGATTTCTCAATTTGTGGTTTTTCTATACACATGTGTGCAGATTTGAGAAAGAAGAGAAGAGCAATAATGTTTAGGTTTTTCTAGATATGTGTGCAGATTTGAGAAAGAAGAGAAGAGCAATAGTCTTCGGGAAGAGTTTGGTGAAGAATAAGGTGAATTCTCTCTCTCTCTCTCTCTCTCTCACACACACACACACACACACACACACACACACACACATTTGTTCCTGCATTTTGATCACAACCATTGCATTGTTATCCTGCCTGTTTATGTTGAAAAGTTTAATTTGCTTTCGAGCATGCTAGAGTATGGGGGCATTTTATATGCTATTGAGCTATAAACTTTGCATGCTCAATTTTCTTGATCCGTATTTGGCTATTTGCCATTTGAGCCGAATTGTCTCATTACGGACTCATCAACATACGAACTCACCCTTCAGTTTACTTATGACATTTCTTCTTATGGTGCCACAAGTTGAGATATATGAAGAGAATTTTTGCATGTCCAATGCAGGCTGATTATTTTTCCACTTCCAATCGATGAAGTGCATTCAATCGATAAAGTAGATTTAGTTGTTGCGGCGACACAAGCTCGGCCGTGGCTGCTACGACCCCAATCTTTGAATTATTATAAGCATAAGCTGATCGTGCACGAGGTGAAGATGCTCACGCCTAAAGCCAAACCTGACGCCCTCGACGCCACCATCCGGAGCTCATCTATACTAGCTTTGGATGGGGCTTCCTTTGTAGTTTATGTACTGGTGGTTGTGGTGGTAATTATTACACTGTGCTTTTGCAGGAGAAGAACTGAAAATGGTGACTTCTATTGACTGGAAACCAAGTACTTGAATAATTATTGTTCAGGAAAAATATAGTGTATCGTGTTCTTGGTTGCTAATACTGTAGTACCTATTCAGATCCTTCTGTCAGACCGCTGAATGGAAATAACTCAAAAGAAGAGAATGGAGATGCTGTCTCTATGCAATTCGATAACTGTCAGTTCAGTTACAAAGAACTAAAGACCACATCACAAATAGCTTCGAGAATTCCATTGGCAAAAAGGTCAGTTTGGAGTAGTCTTATCTTGGCTACTTGGAAGATGGAAACGCAGTTACTATTACCGTTGTTTGGTATTTGGACATATCTTCTGAGAGTGAGATGGGAATAGATGAATTCAGGGAGATGGGAACAGACATATTCAGTGAAGGTTGGCTGCGTTTAAACTATTGTGCTCAAGTTGGAAACAAATGCCTTTTCTTAGGAACTTGGCAGAAGCTATACATATGCAAATAGAGGTTCAGACACAGCTCCATGAACAACTATAGGTGCCTTCTTTGTTCATGTTTTCGAGCTCTAATTGGATGATGCTGTTGTCGGCGTATATTTTTTATGGTAGGAGCAATTTTTTCTAGCTTCACAATAATTACTGTGCTTTGTGTAGGTATGAACCCAAATCAATATTTAAATGGGTGCTAAATGTTTTTGCAGCATGGTGGACTTTCTAATCTGGTCATATGTAGTTCGTGTATAGTATGGTTTTTTCCCTGTAGTGTGAGATGTACATATAATGTTCTGTTTGAGGTATTATCTAAGAAAAGATATATGTTACCTTACTTGATTATAAGCCCAATGGGTGTAGTTTTTATTCAGAGTTTACAAGGTTTTACCTTTATTCTATGGGTCATGGTTGATATAATTTCGGTGTTGTGGGTGTAATCTGTGTCTGTGCCTTTCCTTTTACCGTACTAGGTTATAGAAAGAATCAAGATACTTCACCAATAGTACCCAATGGGGTAGTTCCTAAGTATGTTCGTATTCTCAAAAAAAAGTTCCTAGGTATGTTCTAAATCTGAAAAATGCATTGCTGGACGAGGTTGATCGGTGTACTGGTTTTTCCGGTTCTTGATCAGTTTTTTGGAGGCCTTGGGCATGCTTCTTTTTATATTTGCATGGTCTTTTTTCCTCTTCGCTGTTTTCTCTCTTTAGTGTTTCTTTGATGTTCCTTTCTCGCACCGTTTGATGTTCTGCCTTGGGTGGCCTCTGTCTTGGTTTTACTTTATTCATTTTGCCCCATGTTTACTTTCTAATGTGTTTTTTGGTTTTCTTCCTTGATCTGCTATTTCCTTTGGTGATCCTTCTTCATTTAAACAAGTCCACAACTCGATTGATTATAAGCTTCTTTTGTTGCAGCAGTTTATTTTTTTTCATCATCAAGATTTCTCCAGTTAGTATTTCTGTTTCGGTGTGCTGTGTGCTTCTTGCCGACGGACCTCCCATTGCTTATGTCCTACCAGTAGAGCCATGCCTCCTCGTTGTCCTGTCTGTCAAAAGCTCGGTACAACCAGTAGCGAGGCACCTCCCTGTGGTGCTGTTCGTTGAAAGCTT